AGTTGATGTGAATGAACTCACACTAGGCCCTTTGTTTCATTGTTTGTTAAAAGCGTTTCTATCATTCTAAACGTCACCGGATCTGGTTTATTTAAAGGCGTATGTATATGGTAAAACAGAAATACAATAACTGCAATATAACAGTGGGACACAGCTGTAGGACATAAATACTTGGTGGCAGTGTGACCGACACTTGATTTTTTCTCCAAGAATTTGGGAGATAAAACGCCTGGGACTTCTCAGGAAGTTAAGTGCAAGTATGGGATTGTTTTTTTTTTAAGAGAACTCCCGCACTAGAATTATATTATTATCCTTGGAGGCATTATTGGGAATGACTGCAAAAATTGAAGGCAAACGCCTGATTACTATCGTAGTATTATAAAAACCGTTTTAATGTTATGGTATTCATTCTGTTTATTTAAACGATTAAGTATATACTGTGTCGTCACTGTGTTGAAAGCCTGTAACATAAAATTCTGATTCTAAAGCTGTATATGAGTCAGCTGTTATGTGATTCATGATGTTAATGGTTGTGTTCAATAGTCACCATATATGGTTGAAAACTTCATTGGCATATTACAGTGGAGCGTATGAATGTACGAGACGTATATTATTATGGTCGTAGGTAATATCATTCTAGGCTGTGTTTCTTTTATTAGCAATGGCTGTAATTAGTGCAGATCGAATAAATATTATAGCTGAAGACTGTTTCGTTGAATGTGGTAATCTCAGGATATATTGGGTTGAATTAAAAATTCTTGTAGTTTTGGATCGCCCATTTATCGAGGAAGGCTATTACATTTTGTTTAATGGATATTTCTTTGTAACTTCAAATTCGAACATTCAATTTCGAGGACTAACTCCTAATTATTTTTTATAATGCTAGAGTGACTGTCTGTTTGTTAAGTTTTCATTTTTTACTCTTAATAATAACTTCAAACAATCACACAGGGCAGTCCAGAAACCAGACGGCTGATACATACTTAAATATTTCTCAATACATACATTTTATAGATAAATTACACACAGACACAGAACAAATGATTGTGCTTATCATACAATAATTTGTTCTGGGTGGAAATCGAACTTACTACCTCCGGCATAGCAGTCAGGGTCATTAACTATTAGACCAACAGGCCCGTCGTAATGTTTTCGAGTAATAACAAAATACCTAACAAATTATACCTACCTAATATATATTTTTTTAATGTCAGGAACAGCGTAATACTGCATTCAAACTAAGCTTGCGGGTATATAATTTTCTTATTAGTCACACATCGTGAGCATACATTACTTTGAAAATATTGGGGAAGTGACGCACGTATTATATTGACATATTTGAAGTGTGGTGGCGGATTAAGAATACGGAGTGTCACCACCCCTACTCATCCCGTGGGTGTCGTAAGAGCCGACTAAGGGAGCTAACTACGCGGAATAACAACACTGCAAAGAAAAGGAAAAGGTGACACAAACCCTATACCAACCCGTCTGGCCAGCGGGGTATAGTAGGCCAAAACTCCTTTGTAAGGAGAGGCCTCTGTCCAACAGGGGACTAGGACTACTGACGTAGGCACACTATGAGTATTTTTGCGACATTAAAGTTCTGTGAAAGCAATCGTCTCAAGTGTTTAAGTATGATATCTCTTTGGCTATCAATGAATGGAGCATAGACCAACTTACACTTTTACAAATAGGTAACTCATCAATTAAAACAGTCCCACTACTACTCGACAAGCTCGGGTGCACAATTTAATGGATTCTTTAATATTTTATGCTAACTACGTCTAATTATTTTATAGCATCTGACAGCCTATGATAATGTCTTTTTGTTGTTTCAATCCTTAAGTTCAAAATCAGAACGGTTTGGGACTAGTGGTTAATGATCCTGACTGTTAAGCCCGAGGTCGTGGGTTCGATGTACACCCAGGACAAATAATGGCGCGATAAGCGAGATAATTTGCGCTACGCCTCGGTGTCTTTATCTATAGTATGTGTGATTACCATAGTACAGGCTCGTGTGTGAGATGTGTGAATTTATTATTATATTACTGAACAATGATCGAAATAATATGACAAACACAAATAATCAGAAAGTATTAAAAATACTTGAGGACTACAGATTACATTCCAATTAGAATCATAAATAGAGATAGTGGAAATCCTTATCTCTGTTTTAATAGAGTGAAACCTTTTTTGTTCATTACCGCCAATCATAGATCTTAACGTGTTAGGCAGGTTATTTTTTTTACATGAAACGGATACAAAGAACACCGAAGCTCTGAAAAACAATAAGTGGGATCGAACCCACAACAACCATCAGTAAGAAATCACAAAATCTGACTAAGATACAAAAATCACCCCACTCAATACAATGGGTTCTGGTAACCTCTATAAACAGACTACGTAAGCAGATGGAATTTCATCCCAGAGGGAAAACGACGTTAGCTGAAACGAGCTCTTATGTTAGGGGTGGCGCGCATTTACGACCCCTAAGCTATAAATTTCACGGGTCATCAACTCTTGTTTCGTTTAGGCACGAGTTTATAGACGCCTTTTTAAAAATACACAGCTTTCGATAATGTTGTCGGCCTTTAGAAAGCCTGGAAGAAATCGTACTGTGTTGTTATCAGTCTAAATAAAGTCACTATTTTAAAAACAGATCTTATTATATTTCACACATTTGAACTTCTGTTTATGCTATTGAGCCGTGTGATACCGGAATTTGCTTTATTGCGTCAATGAGTAATAAAATATTTTATGTAGTTTTCAAGGCAGATACATCCACCATTTTCTGCAATGATTAATAATTTTCGAAAGTTTTTTATAGATATTTTGCAGGCATATTTTGTAATTGGTATTTCAGCAGTCATGTTTTTTCAATATGGGCTTGAAGTTTCCGAGATTCGTGCACTCAAACATACTCATACTTACTCTTTATTTTTTGTCAATCATAATCTTTAATATAGTTCCAAACTATATTTATTTTAATTAACAATGTTACTGGAATAGGAGCTTCTGTTGGGTAGAAAAAAAAATGGGACCAGAAGACATTTTACATAACCAAATGTGGGCAAAATAAATAAACCCTATTGTTAACCACAGATATTGTGTAAGACGGGACTAAAATCAAATTCTACTACTCTTTATCAGATCTCTTGTGGAATGAATGTACACTAAAGGTTTTTTAAGTAAATAACTTATTTGAATGCTTTACAATTATTTTAATATTGTGATACTTTAAGATATACAATAAATTTAGAAGGTAAGAGGCATGACTTCTAACTAATCCTATGGGAATTTATCGAAGGAATCCTGTGCTTACCAGAGGATATCCTATGGCTGAGACCATAATGATAAAACTAAGGAGGGTACTGTGCTCCAAATGGTGTAAATACATTATTAGCAATAACCCCACCTCCTCACAGATGGCTGTGTGATCCCAATCTAAACAGAGCCTAGTATAGGCTCTGTTTAGATTGGTAACCAAACTGCTGATAAACACACTTAAATTAATTTAATTTTTTAATACATACACATAGATAATTTAAACCAGGACACTACAAAATGATGATGCTCATCACACAATGTCCAGGAATCAAACCCACAACCTCTAGCCTAGCTGTCGGGATCACTGGCAATGCAATGTTCAGATTAGAGATGTGAGAGATTAAACCATTGTTCCAGCGAATACTGACATGCACAGAACAACCAGTGTTGAATCTTATAAGATTCTTGTGTCACCAATTATTGTATGTATATAGCTTGATGAGAAGGTGGCTGGTGCAAAAGTGAGTATGTGATGATCAACACCGGCAATCACTAGCAAACTACAGTATTATGAGTTTAAAAGTGAATATGAATAATCTGTATTATGAATCATATCTCACGAATACCTTGCATTTACAATGGGATTTCCTTTTTAATTTTAGGGCAACTAATTTATGGGTAGTTTCAGAGTGGACATGTAGGTATTATTATTATAATTATTTACCTACAGTGATTGGTTATATAGCTGGAATTTTCTGCTAAGAAATAATCTATCATACATTACAGGAAGTTTTCATAGTAAATGACTAAGTAATGAATCATGTTACAATCATATCTATAAATATAATATATGGGTGTTTCTGTTACATTATAATGGCACTTTTGTCAGTATGCGATGTTCCAATAACTTTCCTAATATGTTGATTCATACAAGGACAATGATAAGACAGTAAACCTACAAAATGAATGATAATTTTTTATAAATCTTTTGGGCGTTGTGCGACCTTCTTAGACTTTAATCAGTAGCAATAAGGCCCGCTTTAGCGTATCTTCCGTCATAAAAACAGTTACGATGGATTTTTAGACAGTAGAAATATGTAACCTTGACATTGGCAGGCCAATACCCTCGGCGCAATTAATATTGACTTATCATTCAGCCTTTGGCACTTAAGGCGCAGATTTACCCAAAATAGGCATAAAATATATGTGACAGCTAGTGCCGCAACCGCTACGCCTTATATGGTCAAACGAAAGTGCGATTGCGCGACGATGCATTCCCTCTAAAGTTCGTTGCCCCCGGCACGCTACACATCACTGATAACTAGTTTAAAGACCCTGTGACACTGTAAAATCGCAAAAACATCATACTCTTCTCCATACGGTTCTTATAGCTTGTCAAAAAAGGCGTTGCAGGAATAACCTTTCGAACGTACGTGAAATCCAATACCGGCCCATCGAGTAGCTACATTCACTCGGGCCGGAGCAGCAACCAGAGATGTCTTGCGGTCATAAAATAAAAAACACAACACGTGGCGTAAAATCACTGAACGGTGACAACGATTTTTATGAAAAGGCGTGCGAACTCTGCGGTGGGTTGTGCGAAATATGGCGGCACCGGTCACTAAAGACCAATTTCATGTGAAACTGCGGCTTGTCGGTTTGAAATTCATCACAATTGCAATAGCAAAACACACTGCGCTCGAAATACACTGTAATTTATTTTCTTCACTTACCATTTTTATGAAGTTATACACGTAAAAATTCCACCACTAAATTCACCGACACTACGACAACGGCGACCGGACGACACTGTTCGGAATGTTGGCTAACACTATTTTATGATAACCAATGAGCGCATGCGTCAAAATGATTGACGAAATCAATATAACGTCTTTTTAAAAGTATAGCAATGACTTGTCACACAATGCACTTATTACTCTTTAAAATAGTCTTTTTATTTCTATTTCAATATTATTACACAATTTAATAGATTTCAAGGAAAATATAAAGCGTTCAACACCGGAACAAGTTGACAACATTCAGAAACTGAGACTGGCAACTCCGTAGTGCTACCTGATTATTTATACTAAATACTCAAAGAAAATTGTAAATGATAAATATAGCACTTGTAGAGTACAATGTAGTTAAGATTAGATACGTGAATACATGACGCGCTATTCAGCAAAAGATAAATATAATGTTATCTCAATCAACTTCAAAAGTGAGTCACTCATGACGACAGCGCATGAACCAATCAGATTTTAGTATTCAACAAATGCCCATATACGGACAGACGGAAACAGTCAAAATAGCGCAATATGAAGTTTGAAATTTCGCGCCAATATACTTGGCAATTGTTTTTAGAGTTTGGAGGATACATTGTGCAATTTGTTTTTAGTAAATCATGATTATTTTACAAAGACTAATATCTATACTGCACTAGGTACATTGTGATACGAATATCGGCATGATTTTGCACTTATCTGCATAGCTATTAATACCCAATATTTTTATCTCTATGACGATGCATTTAAAATTTAGGCGTCATGTTGTTTTTTTATTTTATTTAACATTGTTCCAACTTTCTGCGACATGATATTATTATCTTGAAGTGAGAGCAACAAAAGAATTGATAGTTTGCATTTTTTGTTCATACCATATTTGGTAATTACAGAAACATTTGCACACGTTTTTCGATTCAATGTGTATCGTTGAACTAATATTACTAACGTACGTAGTACATTATAACACGATGGTGTGTATTTGTTTTATTAAATGCTGAGATTATATGCACATGAATGTATACATGGTTAGTTCCTATTTTTGCATTTATTAAAAGTTCGAAATCATCATTTAACTTAGGTATCATACTCGTATACCTATGCTGTCCACAAAAAGGGTATTTTTCATGAACTATTTACCTTGTAGTAGGTATGTTATACTATGTCCGTGAGTTGATTTGTTATCCCGTAAGAGTCGAACCCAGGAATCAAACAACACAGGAAAACAGCACTCCAATGCAAGGTAAACTTAAAACAAACCCTATTCTAACCTGTCTGGCCAGCGTGGTATAGTAGGCCAAAACCTCCTTTCTCAGGAGAGGCGTGGACGATGATGATGTTATACGAACTTTAACGGAATTATCAGACTGGTTTGTGTGTTTTAAACGCAAACCGTAAAGATTTATTTAATCTTAAATATCCGAAAAACTGTTAGTGGAGAAGTATAAACTACTTTTAAATGTTACAGAAGTCAGATTGTTTTATATAAAAGTGGAAGTATTACCTTCTTGTAATTTTGCCACCAATGTGAAGCTACTCTTCACAAACTATGATTGTACACAAACAAAATTAACAAAAATATAAGAAGCTCAGAGCATCTTTAATAGTTCTTGAAACTTTGAAAGGAATAGTCTAGACTTTAGCACTCGATTGAAATACACAGTAGGTAATGTGATTTTTTGGTGAACGAATCGACATATGCATCGGTATCCATACAGGGATTGGTTTTTTTAATTATTGGTCCATAACTTTTGAAGTAATGATATTCAGGGATTATATTAAGAATATTTATTTAAAACTAGCTGAGACCCGCGGTGTTACCCGCGTTTGTTGTTATAACCGCGGGCTACGCCGCGGGGCGAAGCTAGTCTAAAAAAAGTAGCCTAAGTTACTTCTTATGTCATCAGCTATCTGCCAGTGAAAGTCCCGTCGAAATCGGTACAGCCGTTCCAGAGATTACCCGGAACAATCAGACAGACAGACAGACAAAAATGGTAAAAAATGTTATTTTGGCATATGTACCGTGTAAACATACATATGCATTTAGTAAAAAGCGGTTATTTTAATATTACAAACAGACACACCAATTTTATTTATTTGTATAGAAGTTTTGGGTAAGTAACTGTTAAAGATATGCAGGAATTATTTCAAAAGATTTTTTTATATAGCAGACATATAATAGTTTAGTACCTGGATGACCGGTATTTTTTTTTTGGTAAATTTTCTAAAAATGAAACCTAGCTAGATCGATTAATCGCCCCCGAAACCCCTGCATACTAAATTTCATGAAACTCGTTGATTCTGATTATATTTATAGGGATTTAGATTTATATAGGGATTTAGCTGGTATACACCTCGCACCCACTTCCAGGGCATACAACGCAACGAAATAACCATATTTAGACATTTCCTTGGTTAAGTCAAAGTAAGTAAGTAGTACCTTGTTTCTTTTTAGACCAAAGATAATAATTTATGTGATGTGTATATCCATTCATAAATTCATATGGAACCTGTCAAATGTGTTTTCACGCATGTGTGGTTTACAAACTGTTCTCTACGTACAAAAACTAAAAACAGTAACAAGCTTTTATTAGAATATTTGGTAAGTTAATATAGTAACTCAAACTAAGAAACATAAAAAAAACATGATTAAAAAATAAGTATGTTGCTATTTATTTTCCAATTTATAATTAAAATAGTATAATTTCTTAAACTTTAATAAAACTAGACAACTCCTTTACACAATACTAGAAGTTGTGAGATATTTACGAGTACAGATGATTTTGATCCATTTCTGGTAATTTCTAGAAAGTTGGACTGCTTTTTAAATATTCACCTAAAATACTTCACACAAACCCTATAAAAACCCGTCTGGCCAGCGTGGTATAGTAGGCCGAAACATCCTTTTTCAGGAGAGGCCTATGTGCAGTAGTGGACCATTAAAGGCTGCTGATGTGATAACGATGACTTTATTTTTATGGCGTGGTGAGGCAACTGAACAGATGTGTAACCTGATGGTAAGCTTTTACCGCCGCCTATAGATCCATCCAACTAAAGAGTCACTAATGCGCTGCCGCCCCTTAGTCCCCTCCAAAACCGGTGGATTAAAAGGGGTAGGACCCGGTACCTTAACAGCGGTTTTCTGTGAGGCCGTTTTACTCAGGTCAAGAAGGCCTGATTTGTGCCGAAGCATGGCTTTATATGAATATGCTCATATATATGTGGTATAAGTTAAAGCCAGATTATTTAAAAAGATTTATTAAGTTGTTTTGCCTACGCTTGAAATACTTAATAGTAGGGTGACTAATGTGAGTTGTCAAGTATGTAAGTAAAACGAGACTGTAATTGGTGTTGTGTAGAAATAAACAAAATATCCTATACCATCGAGACATTTCACTTATCACAACCCACATATATATTCTAGAACCCTTTGCTTTGTTTGGGCATGGATAGCAAAGCGTAAAATGTCCCGGGATATTATTATTATTATTGTATGTACCACACTTTACAAAGTATTCAATAAATATATAAGCACTAGCATTTGCCCGCGGATCCGCCCGCGTGTATGTCGGTTATCGCGGTAAAAATGTCTGCCTGTCGGTAGCCTGTCTTTCCTTAAGAATCAAAGTCTCTTCATGCTAAATTTCATTAAACACGGTTCAGAGCTTATTGATTTTCTGTTTAAATTGCCACCCTCCTTTTCACCCATTTATAAAAACGATAAAAACTATCCTATGTCCTTTCCCAGGTCTTAAACTATCGCTATACCAAATTCCATTTAAATCGGTTAAGCGGTTTACAGATACACAGACATAATTTCGCATTTATAATATTAAGAATGGAACTATGAATGTTTATCAGCAGTCTGGTTACCACAGTACAGACTGCCTTGTTTGGGGTCAGACGGTCGTATGAGAGTTGTATCAATTTATTATTACAATTTCTCTTAAGCTAAGTCTAAGCATTTCCAACATATTTATGATATCTTTTATACATAGTGAATAAATTAGTCATAGTCATTTGCCCAGCGGAACCAGCCAAGGCACGTTTCAAGAATGGCATAGCATAACTGCTGTCAGAAGCCTCTATGAGTAGTACCACGGAATTTTCGAGATGCTGTCGGACCATTTTGGGGGGGCCGTTCCTTTCGAGGGACGTGCACAGGTCTGCCACTGTGTAGGCTGCGATACGGGACAGGTGCTTTTTGCGTTTGCAGATGGTTTGAGTTAATCTGGAAATCAATAATAACAATTATAGTTTTTTATATTCTTTTGTAAGTTTGCAAGGAGTGGTATTGAATAGAGAGTAAGGTAAGTGATTTCTAATTGTGATAACTAATTTAAAAAAATCAAATTGATTACACAGAACGACGAGAAAATATAGATAAAAATCTTCAAAAAATATACAGTAATAACTTTCACAAAAACAATCATATATATTCCAAAGCTTGACTCTCTCTTACTGTAAGATGGTACTAACAATAGAACAAATGACTCACTTCTCAATGTTGTGTGCAATTTCTGCCAGTTTCTCCTCCACGTTTCTGTCGAGCTGCGCATGCGATGTGGCTCGTTCGCACAATGACGTCACTAGTGCTCTGTAGCACTGCATGTAGCATGGCCATCTGTACATAATAGTAAAAACAATCTTGGATTATTAAAAAAAAAACAAATTACATAGACATTTATTACTGCGACCACAATATGGTAATAGAAATGCTTGATGCTACTTTTATTTCTCGACACAAACTAGAAAGTTTTGTTGGCTAACGTTTTTGATATTTTAATATTGTTTTCACAGATCTTACACACGGCCGTCTGATCCTAAACTAGGTAGAGCTATGGTAACCAGGGTCTACTCTTCTCTGTGTTGTCGTCTTAAGCTTTTTCCTTTTTGAGTATATTATATTATAATTAGCTGTCTGCATTTTTCAAAAGGAATACATTTTCACCGTTTTTCATTGACCTTCAGCTCCTATTTGTCGCAGCGTGATGTTATATTGCCTATATCCAAAATCTAAAAGAATTTTAAATTCGAACCAGTAGTTATTGAGATTAGCGCGTTCAACCAAACAAATGATTAAGCTTTATAATCTTAGTTTATACACTTTTCGATTGGTCATCAGCCCTGTTAAAAATTTACCTCAACGCCTTTCAAAGCAACCTAGTAAGGTGGGGAAAAGCTACAGAAAAGGCTTGTACGATGTGCTGTGCGGAAAAGGGTACAGCCTGGCACTTACTGACAGGTTGTAAGGCGCTATTAGACCGGGGTCATTATTCACGTCGCCATGATAGGGTATTACGAACGTGAACGAATATCCAAAGCGGCAATTTTTAGCCTCGTATCAAATATGTTTAGGTAGAGGGGGTAACACAGCAGACACTGGAGGTGAGCGCTGACGCGTCACAAGGAGTACTCCCTAAACCTATACCTGGGTCGCAATTTCCAGGCGCTGTCTAAGCCGCATGTGTTGCCCCCATCTACCATCTACCCACACCCGCAATCCACGAAACGCTAAGAAATAGGTCTCATAATGAAAAGAAAATACTAGACATCACAGTTAATTTCAAAGTTCAAATACAGTTATTACATAATGCATAAAGGACCATTCTTGAGTCTAAATGCGGAAACCGGAGCCCACAAACAATACCAAAAAAAAGGGTTATTATAATACCGTACCTGTCTTCTAAAATCTCTTCTCTAGCGACGATCAAACTGTTCAACACGCCTACGCAGCCTTCGTACAGTGTAAACAGGGAGTTCCAAGATATGTCATGAGTAATGTAGGTCTTGTTGTGTATTATAAAATGAATAAGATGTTGTAATTCGAATATGCTGTCAACGAATTTGTAGTCTAGAGATACCTGAAAAAAGAGCTAGGTTAGATGCAGAGAAAATGATAAAAAAATCCGGACAAGTGCGAGTCGGACTCAGCCACCGAGGGTTCCGTACAAATTTGTGGGTACATAAAATAAATAGTTCTGGAATTGGGTCTCGCAGTTTTTGCTGAAGTTTTCCCGAAATTCAGTGTCCAAAATCTATAATTATTTGTATTATTGTGTTTTATATGTGAAATTGTTCATTGTTGATTGATAACTTACTTTAAATAAAGACTAATTGTTTTATGATTTAATTACATATGTTTAGTTTTCAGATTTTTTTCTGTACTTGTAGTATAAGACGATGTTACCTGCCCAATTTTATACCTCTCGGTCAACGGGAAATACCCTATAAATTTTAATTCTCTTGAGTGTCGAAAGGTGCGTTTTTGCGGCATTAACTGCCGTATCTTTTTCAGAAAGAAGAATCTTTTTTGAAGAATTTAGAAATTTTATTTTTTGACAGCTTCAAGTGACTGTACACATGAGTATGTGGTTTTAATTTCAACTCGATACATCCACGCGTTACCAACATAAAAGGTCTTGACAGACAGACAGACAACAAAGTGATCCTTATAAGGGTGGCGTTTTTTCCTGTTGAGGTACGGAGCCTTAAACTCAGTGAAAAACAATTCCTTCATTGCTTTTCACCGAGGTTACCCGAGGACCATTCACCCTCAAAAGTTATTCTGGAGGGGGTTTCTTACGTGGGTCACCTTTTTATTTATTAGCGTTGAATTGACATTTGTTTTGCTAAATGTTGACTTAATTAAAAATAAATTTATTTTTGATAATAACATGCGTTTGTATAATTTTAATTATACATACTTAATTTCAATAATAGTAATTGAAGAAATGTAATTTAAGTAGTAATTAAAGTACAAATACATCGATAACTTACTTTTTTCGCAGCTAAAAGTATTTCACTTAACGAATCCAAGTCCAACCTCATTAGTTCACAAACCACATCATCAATTTTTACAATCTTTACCACCTTATCATCATCAGTAGAAACCTCAGTATTTGATCTGGTAACACCATCTTCAATGTCATAATGTTGTCGTATCCAATTCCTCAAATTCTTACAAATACGGTGCATTAATTTTGACATGGCAACACATTTTGATCCTACAATATTGGCCTTCAAACACTGTGTCCAAAGATATTTAAATACTTTTCTATTTATGACGTCACCGTTGTCTTCAGATACAATTACACAGGGTTTCTGAAATGTAACAATTAGAATAATTTAAATTAATCGGAAGATGTTATTCCAAAAAAGGTTTTTGTACATTTATCTCCACGAGCACTACTCAGTGCATGTGGTAAACAGTAATAATATTGTACAACAATAATAATAATAAGTGTGTATTAAACTTGACTTCTTACTATCTTTAACAATACTTTTAAAACTAATACAACATGTCACAAATAACACGAAATTATTATAACCTAATACATAAAGTAATATGAATATATTCATATTTAAAAAGAAATTACGCTTGCATTTAAAATAATACACTTTCAAATAAGTAGCACTAACTTCAATGCGGCTACATGGTATGAATTGTGACATTTTTTTTATCTATTCCTTATTCTCACAGTCATTGGTGATTTTTGTTTTAAAATTTAAATAGAACGAAACGGAAAGTATACTTTTTTCAAATAAAGATAGTATTTTCCAAATCAGTCCATAAATACAAAGTTCTGAGGTAACAAACAAAAGAAAAAGATGAATAAAATAAAAAAAAAGCTGAATAGGACCTTCCTCCTATTTTGAAGTCGATTAAAAATGGCGAATATATGAATAGTTAATTTAGAATACCGTAAATAATTATAAGCTATCATGGTATGGAAAGTCTAAAAATGTCATTAAAACTTTCCTTTCCCATTGGAACAGAATGTATTAGTTTAGGCCACGACATGAATAAATTCAAGAAAAACCTGTTCAACATTTCTCAGATGTAGGCGACGACAGATTGCTAATTAATAGGTAAAACTATTTCGAACATCATGCTATCTTTAGACCTTATAAAACAAGAGAATTATGAAGAAAACAGACTTGTTTTACCTTATCTTATTATTAAACAAAGAAGAAAATAAGACAAGACACAACTTTCTGTCTATTAATAATATTGATGCTGATTTTAACATACCTTGAAAACAACCAAACTGGATAGATCATTTATAAAATGATTGCTGTAAAACTCCACGGAGGATAGTTCACATACAAACTTCAATGTTAAACTTAAATCTTCTAAGCAACTGCTACTTAGAACTTTCTTATTCTGTTCCTGTATTAATCTTTCTTTGATACTCTTATATATTTGTAGAAATATTTTATCTTTTTCTTTAAATACTTCATGAGTTTCCAATTTTTTAATATTACGGAGGACGGCGTTCAATAGTTGGATAGATGCTTCGACGTGATTTGTTTTTGAGTTGACGTTTTCAATGGATTTTATCTAGAAAGTGAATTAATTAAATCATCTGCTTTGTATTCAATAATTTTTAAATGAGTCTATGGCTGCTAGAATTATTTTTTATGAATTGTTGCACCTATGTAATCGGTGTCGTCAGAGCCGACTAAGGGAGCAACCTACGCAAGGCAATAGCACTGCAAAGAGAAGGAAAACTTGAAACAAACCCTTTTTTTTTTAACGTGTGGAAATCCCCTCGGACCGTCACCCCTCCGGGGTTTGCGGCGGGGTGGTGTGTCGGACTCGGACCGACTAAAACCACACGGTGTGCCACTCTGCGCCTGTAATAGGAGGGATCCGGGAAATAGGAGGGATCCGGGAGCTTTGAAACAAACCCTATACCAACCCGTCTGGCCAGCGTGGTATAGTAGGCCAAAACCTCCTTTCTAAGGAGAGGCCTATGCTGTTGAAATGTGATAATGTACGATGTGATTGTTGTACCTAGGTAGTAAATTAACGTTTTACCAATAACATTATGGTAAGTAATGTCATTGAAAAGAGGCCACTTTTCAAATAGGATTACGAAGGGAGAGCCATGCTTCGACATAAATGGGCTGGCACGACCGGTGTGGTACAACGGCCTCCCAGAAATCCGGTGTTTAGAAATACCATCATTTCAGCTATGGGACATCCATTGCTGGACATAGGTAGCAGGTAAATGCCGATAAATTCTAGTGGAATAAGCGGACTCGCTAATTCTTTGGTGTTATCTAACAAACAACCTGTTATTAAGTATCTCTGTTAAGATATCCTACGCATCTTTTAAAATTTTTCATGATGAATTGAAAAAAATGTTTACTTACAGCACTCTTAATAAAGAATTCCAATGCTGACCATAAATAATCCAGATTTTTAATTTCATCACCATCTGTACATTCACAATACTTTGACAGAGTTAAAGAATACGCCGGCATAGCATTCAAAACTGCCACACTATCATTTTGTACTGCACTATCGTCATGGCTGCTACTATCAACTAAAATACTACTATTATTAAAATCTATGCTTTTAAATGATTCCAATAAAACTTTCTGAAGTTTTTCTTGTAAATCGGCTAGTATTGACCGAAAAGCGCTTGCAGTTATTGCCTTCTTCTGTTTCACTATGAGAGGCAAACTAAGGCAAGTTACTTGGAACGCAGGGTCATTAAATGATTCTATATCAGATACTTTCTTTTTATTCTTCTTCAATAACTTTGTAACTATTGTTTTCACTAATTCGCTATCAGTGCGAACTTTTTTTACGGCCAATTCTAATAGACTTTTAATTATTAATAAATTATTTGTGTTTCTTAGCTTCAATGTTAAAAGATCCAGTAATGTATTGTCTTGGAATGAGAATATGTATTCAATAGGAAATATTTGATATAAATCTGGTTGCTGCAAACTCAATTCGTATATACTTTGCAGAATGGTGTCTATATTGCGTTTTAATTTCTTTACATTGGTAGATTTCTTGATTGCCAACAGTAAAAATATTGCTACCAACTGGTAGTTTTCCTCTAAATAGCAGAGAGGTAATTGCTTTAATATATTAACATGTATTTTTATATCATCTTGGTTTTCTTCTTGTATACTGAGTTGTTCGAAATATTGTACTACTTCTGTCTCTTTTATGAAGGAAACCATATTGAAATTTGATTTTCCTATCATTTTGTTCAGCGGATCTGTGTTTTCAAAACATTTCGTAATATTTTTGGCAGTTTCCAATACCAATAAGTTCAGTAATGTTCTATTATTCGTTACAGCAATGGATTGTAATACGTCAAGTTCCGGGTTTGCTAAATGTAGTTTGATCAAACATTTGGCCAACTGTTTTGTATGTGTTTTGTCCAAATCCGAAAACAATACATTACAATAGCTATTGTTTTGTAAAAGTGTTGGATTCTCGCAAATTTGTTTTATAAGATGTGCTTTAGTGGATGTGATTATTTCTTTATTGTATTCTTCACCATTTCTTATTGATAAGAGTTGACTGGCCATCGTTTTAATTAAAAGTAAGTTATTCTGAAATAGAACACGCAAATGATTAAAATAAAAAAACAAATAAAAAAACAATTTAAATTGTTATTCTAGTTCTCTATAACAATTTTTTCATTAGCGATTCGATAGTTTTGCAAAAAAATAATTCTCTTTAGAATCAATAGATAACCTGTACAATACTGCATGTTTTTATTTCATATAAGAAACCGAGAAGTTCAAAGTGGGGAGAGCGAAAAGCTATTTTTATCTATGTTTTATTTGGTTTTCTAAATGCCCTTTAATCATTTAATTTAAAAAAAAAACTTACCAAAACAACAACAGCTTCATAATCTGCAATCTTCCCAGCCATCTCTATCCATTGCTCTTTATTCAAGCATGGCAGTATATCACTCAGGTTAAAGAGCTCCGATGTATCGGTGCACTGAGATATTTCCAGTTTTACATTGCTGTACTTTATGTTTAAAAGCTTTAGTTGAGCAAAGTTTTGGCACAGTTTCAGGAATGACAACACTAGGGGTGGATTCTGAAAAGATTTTGTTTCCTTTTACTAATATATACATATAATACAATAACTTTATTTGCTCTATGCAATGTTATATCTATACTAATATTATAAAGCTGAAGAGTTTGTTTGTTTGATTGAACGCGCTAATCTCAGGAACTACTGGTCCGATTTAAAAAATTCTTTCAGTGTTAGATAGCCCATTTATCGAGGAAGGCTATAGGCTATATATCATCACGCTAAGACCAATAGGAGCGGAGCACCAATGAAGAATGTTTCAAAAACGGAGAAAATTTATTACTATTGAGAGACGCAGACGAAGTTGCGCGGGTCAGCTAGTTTATGATAAGTTTATTATTGTTAAAAAAGGGGAAAATTTGAAGTAATACTTTAAAAGATTGATATGTGTGATATAACAGGAATTCTATCATTATTTATATGAAATTACAGTAAAATTTAGAGAAATGTGGCATAAAAACTTAATCTAAAAGTACAAATTCTGAAGGACTTCTTAAGAATAGTTAATTAGAATTTCCGGCAGGCGATCGTGACCAATTCGAGCTATCACTACCACACTTTCTAATCTATAATAAAACAAATAATTGAAAATAACTCCCGGATTAGGCATATATATCCTGTATCGCGGGCGACTTTGCAAACATACATGAAACGGACACAAAGACACATCCAGATTTACAAAAACAATTTGTGGATCACACAAAGTAGTGTCCCATGTGGGGATCGAACCCACAACACTCAGCGCAGTAGTAAACGGCGTGGCGGCCGCTTAAACCACTCGTCATCCGTGCAGTCCTCTGACGTGAGTGGAATTAAAATTATAGTAGGAAAAATGAGGCTGTTTTAATACGACTCTGCTTCCCCATTCTCGGATATAAGCGTGAGTATATCTAAAGGACTACTATGTAGTGATGGAAATGATTGCTACTTTATAATAAGAATAATCATATGTTGAAATTATTTGTTTTAGTTACTGCGATTTCAACTGTAATAAATCACTACTGTGATTTGATCATAGACAAACATAAATGCCATCAAAACTTAAACAAAGATAAAGACAAATAGATTATTATATTGAACTTAATTTTCATCAAAGACTACAACCTTTTTTTTTTAGTTTAGAGTTTGGCGCCAGCATAATGATATGTCGCAGTGATTTTAGAAGAGATGTCACAGGTGTGACATCTCTTCTAAAATCACTGATTTGTAAATCATATTCACCCATATTCATCATATCACCCATGATTTGTAAATCATATTTTAATACAGGTGATTTTGATTACTACTACTACTATGCAATATAGTAGGTCTAAATTAAATAGTACAGTGACAGTATTTAATATCAATGTTGTACTCACATAACTGAGTTTCAAAACACATTCTCCAAACTTGCGCAAGCATTCTTCTTCGAACCTTTTATAGGCATTCCAGAAATCTTCAGATATATTTAGCGGGACAGTATGACCTGCCATTTTGTTATAGTACAAGAATGACGATAAGATGGACGACAAGACTTCCGTGAGAACTATTATAGAAGGACCTGGAATATCAATAAAATCATAAATCCTCAAGTAGAGACAATCAGAATAGGATGGATTCCTAGGTTTAAAATAAATTATTTCCTCTGAGTCATTTAATGTAACATCTTAAAGTACAGTGTGAATTGTCTTTTAGCATCAATTTAATGTTTTCATTGTTTATTATATCTTTAAATCAATACTTATAAATGTGAGAGTGAGTTTGTTTGTATGTTTGTTACGCTTTCACGCCTAAACCACTAAACCTATTTTAAAAATTCATTCACCAATCAACTACCTTATCAGCGAGTAACATAGCGAGTGTTGTGGGTTCAAACCCCACATGGGACGACACTTTGTGTGATCCACAAATTGTTGTTCTGAGTCTGGGTGTTCTTTGTGTCCGTTTCATGTATGTTTGTAAAGTCCCCTGCGACACAGGATTTATTCCTAATGCGGGAGTTGTCTTTTTAAAAAAAAAAAAAAAAAAAAAAAAACATAGACTACTTTTTAAAGTTAAAGGCCAAAGGTAAGTTTAAAGTCAAGCTTATAAATCAAAGTTTAATTCTTATATGAGTCTTGAGGTACTTTAGTCAATCCATCAGGACTAGCAAAATACTATATGCAATGTATGTATTTATGTAATAAATAGCTGTCTTTGTCTACAGCTCTCAAAAGGATTATGAGCATTTTACCAGATTCTCATTATTAAAACAATTAAAAACAAAAAAAATTAAAAATCTATCTTTTCAACTCACCCTCAACAGAAATCACAAGCCAAAATTTCGACTATTTACTTTTATAATCTTCGGTTGGTTTAACCTGATTTACTTTTTAAAGCGAAATTAGATTATCAGAAATAAATTCATATTTACAGTAATATAGGCTTTCCTCTTTCACTTAAAGTAAATTAAAATTTAGTTAAATTTTAATAATATGGGTCTGAATTTTATTATGGATGGACCATGATTAAGGTTACACACAGACTATTTTTTTAAATAAATGTCACATTCAAATTCAATAATATTTCATAACAATGAAATTAGTTAATTCACATCTCGACATTTCCTGTCTGGTTAGTAGAGAATCTGGTGAGTTGCGAATTTGGTGAGTTGCGAATTTGGTGAAGTTGCGAATTTGGTGAGTTGCGAATCTGGTAAACTGCTCATTATCCTCTAAAAAGGATAAACCTTTCCTGTCTTTGCAACATTTTTTTTTGTTTTTGAGTGCCCTGGTATCTACAGTTATCTTTTATTAGATCTTAATAGATTTAAGTGCAGAAATAAAAAATCTTTAACTTACTAACGAATCCTTCTTCTAACATCATCAAGCAATGGACCTCTAGATCTTTTTGAAGCAATTCCAACAATTCCTTGTTTTGTCTAAACATCAATTCAGAAGTCAATTTTCCATACATTTCGACACATTCTTGAGGAAATAAATCAGATCCTGTGAGTATTTTACACTCCAGTTTTTGATACTCTTCTCCGGACTCCTTAGCCTCTTTTACTTTCTGTTTGATTTCAAATTGCTCAGTGTTAACAACCTCCAAAATAGTTTTTATTGGTGGTAGAATTTCAGTAACAAATAGGGTACCTCTACTTAATTTAAACAATGTTTCCAATAAACAGTTTAACATTTCTGTATATGATTCTGTTATACTTAAGCTGTTTTTTTTAGCCGTCATAATGGCAGGCAGTATAGTTTGATTTTTCTGTTCGATGAGTATGGGATCAAGTTTTAAAGCAGTTTTTATTATTAATATGGTAGTTTTATCAAGTTTGCCTTCTAATTTGAGTTGATTCATCATGACAGCTTGAAGAAAAGAAGTGAAATTTTTCTTTATTTCTACTTTTGATATCTTTTCACCAAATGTATCCGTTAGACGCACATTTACATCAACTTCATTGTCCAATAAAACTTCTAACATATTTAGAAATAGAGACCTTTTAACTTTGTTATCATTTTCGCTTAATGTTATTTGCGTTAAGTTCATAGCAGGAGTTATAAAATTCTGTTCCATTTGTAATACATTCGTCACCATTATATAAAAAGCAAACACTATCTGATTTTCTTTTTGAAAGGAACTTACAAACACATCAATAAAATTCTGAAGAAATTTCGTGTCAGTATTTGAACGATTTTTAGGGAACTCAAAAAAGGTATTCATGATTTTTATAACAGATTGTATGTTATCTCCTTTTTCTACTATTAGCTCTTCGAGATTATCTTTACGGATCAACGTTTGTAAGAAGCTGATAAAATATGATTTTTTACTAATCGGAAATAGGATGTTTTGGCAGACATCTATTGCTGACATGCGACACTCGGTATCCAGAAAACTAAATATGGTTTCTATATTTTCTCCATTCAGCAGTTTTATAATAAAATCTAACTTCTTTTTTGATTCTCTATAGTATTTTATGAAGTTGATTAAAATTCTTTTACTTAAATTTGAACAATTTTCAGCATTGCGTAAATGTTGCAGTAAAGTTATAGTTATTGTCAGGTAGTCATCAATTTGGACATGTAGTTGCGTTGATATTTTATGGTTCTCAAGGAATGATATTATATATTGTATATCTGTAGTTTGTAGAGGATGTCTTTGAAGATATAGTGACACAATCTGAAAACAAAAAAGGTCTAGTTATGGATTTACTTATTCAGATAATATATGGTTGGATAACCTTATATTATTAACAGTAGTCCGTGAGGTGAAGGATTAAGAATATGGTGTGTCACCACTACTATTCATTCTGTGGATGTTGTAGGAGACAACTAAAGGAACAAACTACTCAAGACAACAGCACTGCAAAAAGAAGGAAAACCAGAGTGGTATATTAAGCCAAACTCCTTTCTAAGGAGAGGCCTATGCTCAGCAGTGGACTATCAAAGGCTCTTGATAATGATGATTGACAGTAGATTTTAAGATAACTAACCTCCTTTGAGGTTAGACTATGCTGTATGTAATGACATACATTTACGGATAAAAAAATGGTATACTGTTGTGCCCCTTTGAATGGAGTGTTTCGTGTGTTTATCAATATTACCTGTATCAATTTGCTCTTCAATTCATTTGTGAAATCATCTACAATTGACAGCCAGTCAAGAACATTCTTCAGATCTTCAGTTTTCAAACTATTTCGTTCTGCAAGATCTTGAAGCCATTCTGCCACAATTCTCTCCTTAGGTGCGGTGGGGAAGTGATGGGATTGCACTACATTTTTAGCAAGGCAAAGGCGCTTGGGCAATGGTGTTTTCACGTCGTCTAACCGTCGTTTTAATTCTAAAATATTATGAACAACAACAGTGAGGTTATGTTTTTGAATAAAAATAAATAATAAGTGTTTAATGGTTATTGTGTTACCGTTAAGTGGATTTAGTGACATATTTAATTGGCACAATCTAAAATAATAATATTCTATAGCAATGTATTAAATTATACATGAAACAAAAACGAGCACCTCACATGTACAAGTGTTGTTATTTTGTACGTTTTGGTACTGCTTCGTACTGTCAGGTAACAATTTTTTTTACACTAACTGTTTAATTAATAAAGTATCTTTAAAAAAACACTAATTATATAATAGTATGCTGTAAGTAATATCGATTAAAGGGATCAAAATCAAAAAATGCTAATTAATTTTGATGTTGCAACTAAACGTAAACCTCCTATTGAAAATATATGAACACGTTTAGAAGAATCAATACTTTTTGGTATGGAGACCTTTTTAATTCATCAATTTTTGCACATTTTTAGTTCTAAACTATGCTTATAAGAGATTTCCTTTTAGGAGGACACCTTACCCGGCTAGTGGTACCCGAGATGGCGTGCAGTTTTAAGTCGATTCGAGTTCGACATTACCACCCTAGCGGTTGTCTAGTGGATGGTATCCAAGGGGGTTTCCGCACAGAAAAAATGGATGGGAATAGTAATCACGACCTCGCCTTAGTAGTCATGATCACTAACCACTAGACAAATAGGCCCGTCCAATTTAAAGAACTTTTAAATCACCTAACCTCAAGAGCTAAAAATCTCGTCTTGTGACGTTGTGTTCTTAAAAATAAGAACAAAACTTCTGAAACAGATATACTTACTTACCTCTTTGTCATTCCATAAATAGTATGTATTATGTATGTGTGTGTGTGACATTTTGTAACCTCTGTGCACCCACCTTACAAGATGTCTACACTATCTAAAGGCAGAGGCGGAGAGAGGCAAACATCTCATCGGGGTCCCCCGCATCTCTCTATCGCCCATACCATATATAATTTACTACTAGTTGACATTACTAGATGTGTGATTGTGATAACGATATAGTGATAACAAATAGTTGGCATTTTTTTACTACAACTTTTTATTTTTATTTTTTTACGTGTGGAAACCCCCAAGGAGTGTCACTCTAAAACCATATGGTGTGTAAACTGCACCGGAAATAGGAAGGATCCGATAAAAGCTTTTATTAAGACGTCTGGACCTTTTTTTTTTGGCTGATTTCCTAACCTGATCACCCCCAGGCCTGCACATTTGCAGGAAGGTCATTCAGCGACCTCCGGCGCCTCAGCCGATTGCAGTATCTAGCCCGTTCCTGGGCCTGGAGGACCGGGAGAGTTGTAAGCTTCTACAAGGCCCACTCCGCCCTCTACTTGAATATAAATTGCTGGCAGAAGCAGGTGGCGGAGTACCATTCTCACTCCGATGGCCGTCACGAGGCCGTACCTCTGCTCCACCCCCGCCAGGCGTTCTAGCAGCGTGTGGCGTGCCTTTGAGTGCACGCTTTGGCCATCGCAGTGGTGGCACTCAGGCGTTGGCTCCTTGCGGATCAGACACAGGTGATCTCCGAAACATCCCTTCCCAGTGATCACCTGCGTCAATCGGTATGAGAGGGTCCCGTGACGCCTCTCGAGCCAATCCTCCATAACGGGTCTTACCGCCGCAATGACGGCGTGCCCAACCGCGGAGCACCCGGAGCGGCGGAGCGATGTACCACAGGAGCGGCCCTAAAACCGACCCCTGCGGATTACCGCATGACATTTCATGCCGACCGAGACGGAGTCCTTGGGTACTTGGGTAGACGACGGCTCCGGATCTCTCCTAGTACTTCATTTTATTTATTGTAAACACTGAACACACACATATATGTTATATAAGTAACAAGGAAATGTCATGTACAAAAGCGAGCTTAACAAATAACTGAGTTTTGTTGTAGCAAACCTTACGCGAATAGAGGACAACAAAGAAACGTAAGGGCACAGTCATGCCTACTTGGGAATCAATACAGAAAAGCATATAAATTTATTTATTTAAATTAAATAAATACGTACATATATACATACATACAGTCACACTAAGGGTCTGATTATTGAAGGGACAGATAATAACCCCTAGTTCTCTTCCTGAACACGCTCAGAGAAGGGCTATTGCGTATTGCATGCGGTAAGGCATTAAATAGCCGAACAGGCGCACCACTAAAAGAATTGTCATAACGACTCGAAGAATGGGAGAGATTTCGAAGGACGAGAGGAGAAGAAGAGCGACAAGGATTGTTCCTGGGAACAAAGTGCTCGAAGCGTTCACGGAGATATGAAAGAGAAACGGTTCTCTGATTTTTTTATCACAGGTTTGCCTGCGATACGTGTAAACACAGGCGAACTTAAAATTAGGTTGCTAGATCCGAATCGCCATATAGAATGTCGGCTAATGAACGTAGCGTTTTTCGCGAGTCCCTAAGAGAACTTTTAGATGCGAATATTATCAGACCTCGCTGCTCGCCATTCGCAAGCCCAGCTTTACTAATAAAGAAGCACGACGGCTCAGATCGCATGTGTATTGACTATCGCGAGCTTAACACTGTCCCTGACCGTTACCCACTTCCTTTGATCTCTGATCAAATCTCAGTGCTTCACGGAGCTAACTACTTCTCACAGCTAAACTGCGCCAGCGGTTTCTACTTAATTCCAGTACATGAAGAGTCCATAGAGAGTACTGCTTCCATAACAAACGAAGGTCAATACGAATTTCTGACTATGCAAAAGTGCCCTTAAGGTTGTATGAACAAGGAATCTATTCTATGAATTAACTTGTGCTGCAACTGACAATTAACTTTTATATGAAATTATTCTTCATCCATTTTCACTGCTACGCTATCGTTGCTACGGGGCGTAGCAAAAGCTACGTAATGTTGTAGATAACTGCAGTAGTGCAGAAAAATGTTAGAGACTCACTAAGTAAGCCTACTAAGATTAATTAAAGGAAAATGTTACGGCTTGTGGGTTCAGTGGTGTGATTCTGATTGCTGATTCAGAGGTCGTGGGATGGAATGCCACCCACAAAAATTTTCACCCCTTGAAATTATTAAAGCCTTTAACACCTTTAATGTTAAAAAAACAACTGTCCTATGGGGAAATTCTGTATTAATTACTAAGACAATTATATCTCTTGCGGCTAATCAATTACCATTTAAATTTAATCAATGTGTTGATATTGGTGTATTTCCTGATATTTTGAAGTCCAGAAAAATTATTCCCTTATTCAAATCAGGCAGTACATCTGACCCAACTAACTTAAGACCTATTTGAGTACTACTAGTATTTAGAAAAAATAATGTTTGATCAATTACAAAGTTATTTTAATAATAATAATTTATTACACAATAGACAATTTGGTTTTACTAGGGGTCGCTCCACAACTGATGCTAGTGTTGAGCTTATAAAAAATATATTTGATGCCTGGCAGGATGCCCAAGATACCTAGAGAAGGTATCTTTTGTGATTTATCTAAAGCTTTTAATTGTGTTTTGCATGAAACGCTGATCAGGAAATTACAGCACTATGGTATCAAAACTAAAGCACTAGCACTTCTTGCTTCATATCTAAATAATAGGATTCAGAAAGTTGATTTTAATGGTGAGCGATCTCCGGGTTCTGTGGTAGAAATGGGCGTTCCACAAGGTTTTGTTCTCTGCCCATTTTTATTTTTAGTTTACAGTAACTTACGACGACTTGGTGAGGACCATGTCAAGGATAATAACGAGATTGTGTTGTTTGCAGATCATACATCACTATTATTTAGACTCAACGCACACTTACTAATTTCACAGACCTAAACAGTGCAGTGGTTTGATCTTAAGAATTTGCTTTTGAATGAAAAAAAACTAAATGTATACGGTTCACCACGCCAAACGTCAAGCCAGTGAAAACCAATGTGATGATTAAGGATGTCCAGCTACACCTTGTGGTTACAACGACATTTTTAGGAATAACATAGATTCTAAGCTACAGTGGACCCACATATAGAAAAATTTTCGAGGAGACTTAGCTCAGCAGCTTACGCAGTTAGAAAAAATCAAGAAGTGACTGATATTAATACAGCACGACTTGTTTACTTCAGTTATTTTCATAGCATAATGTCGTACGGTTTTCTACTGTAGGAGAATGCTGCCGAAATTCAAAGTAGAGAGCAATTTATAATTTAGACAATCGTTGTTCATTGAGGCAAATATTTAAATAAATAAACATATTGACAGTGGCAAGTCAATATATAGATGAAATCAATAATAATATAATTTTGTTTTTATGAAGCTATCTTCATAAAAATAAAGATAGCTTCTTGAAAACAAGTGAAGTGTATTTTAATACCACAAATAGAAAATATAAACAAGTCATTTCGAGCTCAATTTGTCCGATTCTATAATAAAATGCCAAATAGTACCCAAGATTTTAGTATCAACAAATTTAAATCCACAATAAAACGTAAACCTATTACTTACTCAATTTTGGATGAATGGGCTAGTTGACTCAATTTGAAAACTTGGTTAATTATATACTTTAATATCTATTGTATCCCGAAAAACCTATATTTACATGGCGTATTATGTATTTAAAAAAAAAACAGTTTAAATTGCCCTTGAAAACGCTGAATAGTGTCATGGCGTCTTGAATGACGTCACAATCTGCGAAACAAAACTGTTTAATTTTGTGTCCAGTGTCAACTGAAACTGTATTAAGGTGAGAAAATATGCTAAAAACGAAAAACAATAAGGAGTAACCTGTTGTATGAAAACGTCAACAACAACAATGATGTTTTGCGTGGCGTGACGTGACACTTTCTGATTGGTGTTCGCTGTCACGTGACTTTTTTGCCTTTTTTTTTTTTGACTTTTTTAATGCCTATTTTGTTTAAATTTATTTTTTTAAATATTAATAATAATTAACTTTTATGAGAAATGGACTGGTTTTTTCTTATCTATATCTCTTCATTTATAACTTGAAACTTATAGTTTTTATTAGTGGACCAAGCAATTTGTTATTAGTGGACACAAGCCTATTGTGGGTTAGAATGGTTGGGATTAATTTAGCACAGGCTATTATGTAGTGGAAATGTAATGTG